TTTAAACCTTAAACCAACAATATCCCGTGAAGTCATTTTAACACTGAACCAACAGTTCATTTGTAAGAAGAAAGCAGATCATCCAGAGTTCATCTGAATATAACCACTGTGAACCTGGGTCTTTTATGGAGTCCTGCTGTGGCACTCTGGGCTAATGCACTAGACTGCAAAGTCAGTTTGAACCACAAGGTCGGTGGTTCAAGCTCACCACTTGCTCCTTGGAAACCCTATACAGCATCACTATGGGTTGGAACCGACTCAACGGCACGTCATAACAACAATAATCTTTTTTATAATTGTGTCGTTTTTGCTATGTATATTATAAATAGTTTGGGTCCATCATATACATGGTTTAGACAGATATTTCATAAAAATAACTTTATTGCATAAGTATTTCTCAGGTCATTGAGAATTATTTGGAAATGTGATTTTCATAACTATAAAATATTCAGTTTTGAATATTCAGTCCATCATCTAGCTAATCATTCATCCATTGTTATGTTCTAAAATTTTAATTATATTTAATGACAAGTAAAGCAATTTCACACTCATTAGTCATCTATATTTCTTCTTTTGAGCAGGATTTCAGCTGATTAAAGCATTTAGAATGTCACAGACCTTCCTCTTTAACCCCTTGTGGCCTAACCTAAGGTAAAGTGTTAGTAATGTCTGGCTTCTGTCTTTCTTACAGATTTGAAACCACAATGACATCCTGGGGCCTTGTTGTCTCTTCTATCAATGATATCGCTGAAAACGTTAATCACAAGACATACTGGCAATTCCTTAGTGGCAAAACACCTTTGAATGAAGGTCAGAAAAGAAAAGGAATCTGAGTGTTTCTTTTGTAGTTGAAAGAATTCTTTCTTCCATTTCTTCGTAAACTCTTTCATTCCTTTATTTTAACTCATTAAGTTCATCAAATAATAATTGTGGGATTGTATATGTATATACAGTGATTTTATATATATAGTGTTATACATGCATATACAAGGAGCTCTGGTAGCATAGTGGTTACGAATCGGGCTGCGAACCACAAGGTCAGCAGTTCAAAACTACCAGTTGTTCCACAGGAAAAAGATGAGGCTTTCTGCTTGCGTAAAGATTTACAGCCTCAGAAACTCTGTACAGGGTCGATATGAGTTGCTATGTTGTTGTTATATGCCGTGGAACCAACTCCACGGCATATAACAACAACAACAACATCTGTTCCCATAAAGATTTACAGTGTCAGCAGTCCTATGTAGGATCACCATGAGTTGGAATCAACTCGATGCCATGGGTTTAAGGTTTGGTAGTAAATGATATGGATTGATTTTGAGGGGATTAATGGTGACCTCATGTCATTTTCTGTTTGGCCCAGGTATTGCTGACTATGTACCCTTCAACCAGGAGCACATCACAGCCAACTTCACACAGTACTAAGGAGGAGGGGGACTCAGGCTCCACCCACTTTCCAGCTGATGCATGGAATTTTTTTCATTTCATTTCAAACTGGTAAAAAAACAAAATACTATGGTGCTGCTATAGCCCTGGTTTTAAAAAGAAGTGGAAACCATGACACAAAATAAAAGTTGCAAACTTTCTTTGAGTCTACACATGTGTGACCCATGGGGGAAAAATTACCAACTTTTCAAGGTAATGACTGCTTGTCATTTAAACCTAGAGTGAGGAGAAACAGGAAAAGCAAGTTAATATTTTTGGAGCTCATTCTGATATTCTTGATTGATTTGCCAACATACACTCCTTTATATCTGCAACTGAAATAATGCATGAAAAAAAAAATCCCCCATTTTTGTTTTGTATATAAAGTACTGCTTTTCAGGACTTCTGGTGTGACATTGTAGGCTCAGCACTGGACTGTGAACCACAAGGTTGGCAGTTCAAACCCACTAGCTAGTCCTCAGAAACCCTATACAGGGTTGCATGAGTTGGAACAAACTTGACGGCAGTGAACAACAAGAAGAACAATTCCTTTTCAGGTCACCTACTGGCACAGAAAGTATTACCTTCCATTTCTAATATTTGTGCTGGATGAAATCAAGAAAGATAGAGTGACAGATACAGTGGGAGTATGATCTTTGAAAGAAAAACGTAAACTTTCCAAGTCATGACTCTTGTCTTTGCTGGTAGGAGTCAACACTAGTATAAATATTTTAGAATGAAAGACGAATATTTGAAAATTTTTATCAGAAGTCCTTAGCTTATATACTTAGCTTTAACAAATAAAAAAAAAAAAAAAGCCAATTCTAGACTTTATATAAAGGTGAGACTCATAAGAACATACATGGTGTTAGGCACTGTCAAGTCAGTTTCAACTCCAAGTGGCCCTCTGTACAGCAGAATGAAACATTACCATCTTGCACCATCCACCCAGTCATTGCTATGGGTGAGCCCATTGTTTCAGCCACTGTGTCAATCCATGTCACTGAGCATCTTCCTCTTTTTCAATGACCCTCTCTACTTTACCCAACATGACGTAACATCCTTCTCCAGGGATTAACCCATCCTGGCAACGTGTCCAAAGTAGGTAAAACAAAGTTCCCCATCCTTATGTCTAAGGAGAATTCTGACTGTACTTTGTCCAAACCAAAATTGATCATTCTTCTGAAGGTCCACAATGCATTCAACATTCTTCACCAATACCGTAAATTCAGATGAAATTATTCTTCTTAGATCTTCCTTATTTATTGTCTATACTTTTTCCATGCAAAGGAGACGATTGCAAATACTATGGCTTGAGTCAGGCACACTTTAGTCCTCAAGTTGACATCTTTTCATTTTAGCACAAGAAATATATGGAAGAAGTGGAATAGATTATGTTTCATTGAGGAGCTTACGATCAATGAGATGAAATAAAATACGTATGATCTGTTCCATGTACAACTGACAGTCTGCTCTATAAATCTTTACCCCATTCACAATGAAAAGATGGTTTTTTTAAATGTATTTTGCAGCAGATTTAGCTAATGCAGTACCTCACTGATTTCTTCACTGCTGCTTCTATGGGCATTGATTATGGATCCAAATGAAATGAAAATCTTGACAACATCAACCTTTTCTCCATTTATGGTGGTGTTGCTTATTGTGGGGATTTTTCTTTCTTTATGTTGAAGTGTAATCCATACTGAAGGTTGCAGTCTTTGATCTTCATCAGTAAATGTTTCAAGTCCTCTTCACTTTCAGTAAGCAAAGGTGTGTTATCTGCATATCACAGGTTAGTAATGAGACTTCCTCCAAACCTGATGCTGAATCTATTGCATATGGTGCAGCTTCTTGAATTATTTGCTCCGTATACACACTATCCTGAGACAAGACACACACCTTTCCTGATTTTAACTGCATAGTGTCTCCTTGTTGTATCCTAATGATGCTGTCTTGGTCTATGGACGGATTCCTCATAATGACAACTAAGTGTTCTGAAATTCTCATTCTATACAATGTCATCCATTATTTTTTATAATCCCCACAGTTGAATGCCTTTGCCTAAACACAGGTAAACGTCTCTATGCCAATCTCTATTTCAGCCAAGATCCACCTGGCATCAGCAAAGATAACCCTCATTCCATGTCCTCTTCTGAATCCAACTTGAACTTCTGGAAGTTCCCAACAAATGTATCGTTTTTGGATTCTCTTTAGCAAAATTTTACTCATATGGAATATTAATTATCTCTTCAGTGATTCCTGCATCTTGTTGGATCATCTTTCTTGTGGAATAAGCACAAATATAGATCTCTTTCAGCAGGTCTGTCAGGCAGCTGTCTTCCAAATTTCTCAGCACAAACGAGTGAGTACCTCTATTGCTGTATGTGTTGAAACATCTCAATTGGTAGCCCATCAATTCCCAGAGGTTGTTTGTTTTTTCCATCGGTGACTTCAGTGCAGCTTGAATTTCCTCCTTCAGTACCATTGGTTCCTGATCATACGCTACCTCCTGAAATGGTTAAATGCCAACCAATTCTTCTTGTTACAGTGACTCTGTTTGTTGCTTCCATCTTCTCTTGATGCTTCCTGCATTGTTCAATATTTTGTCCAGAGAATTCTTCAGTATTTCAACTTGAGGCTTGAATTTTTCTTCAGGTTTGTGACAGTTGAGAAATGCTGAGCATGTTCTTCCCTTTTGGTTTTCTAATTCCAGTTCTTTGTACATGTCATTATAATAATTACTTTGTCTTCTCAAGCCACCCTTGGACATCTTATGTTCAACTCAGACATATTATCAGGAGGAACCAGTCCCTGGAGAGGAACATCAAGGCTGGCAAAATGGAGGGTTAGCGAAAAAGAGGAAGATCCCCAATAAGATGGACTGGCATAGTGGCAGCAATGGGTTCAAGCATAACAATGATTGTGAGAAGGGTATAGGAATGGGCAGTGATGCATTCTTTTGTGCATAGGGGCGCTATGAGTTGGAACAGACTCAGTGGCACCTAACAACAACATTTCGCTCTTTTACTTCATCATTTCTTCCACTTGCTTTAGCTACTGTGTATTCAAGGGCTACTTTCCCCCTCATCTGTCAGACTGTCCTACTGTGGTGGCTTGTGTGTTGCTGTGATACTGGAAACGATACCACTGGTGTTCCAAGTACCAACACAGTCATCCACAGTAGACAGGTTTCTGCACAGTTTCGGACGGAGACAGACTGGGAAGAAGAAACTAGCAATGTACTTCTTAAAAAACTAGGTGAACTCAATGGATAGAGTTGAAACACTGTCTGAACCAGTGGCGGAAGATGCACCTCTCAGGTTGGAAGAAACTTAAAATACAATTATGGAAGAACTGACCCCTGAAAGTAGAGTCACTGGCAGGGATGGAGTAAAGCTCCATGATTGACATGGATGGAGGAGAGTGTTGGGGACTCCATTGGCTGATATGGCATGAGATAAAACGAGAAGAAACAACTGCAAACAACCATTAGTGATCACAACATGGAGCACATAAATGTGAATCAAGGAAAATTTAAACTGTGAAAAATAAAAAGGAAAGCTTGAAGATTGAAATCTTAGGCATAAATGAGCTTAATTAGACTGGTTTGGCCATTTTGATTCAGACAATATTATGGTCTACCTTGCCAGAAATGACAAATTGAGAAGGAATAACATCTCATTCATCATTTAAAAGAACCTTTTAAGACCTATCTTGAAGTTCAGTGCTGGCAGTGATAGGATAATATCCATACATGCACAAGGAAGACCAGACAATAAGACTACTATTCAAATTTACTCACCAACCCCTAGGGCCAAAGATAAATATTCTGAAGATTTTTATGTTATCTGCAGTCTGAAATAGATAAAACATGCAGTCAAGCTGCGTTGATAGCTATAGGGGGTTGGAATGTGAACATTGGAAACAGTTGGAAACTATGGTTTTGGTGTAAGAAATAAAGATAGAGATCACACGACAGAATTTTGCAAGAGCAATGATTTATTCATTACAAGGACATTTTTTAACAACATAAATGGCGACTATACACTTGGACCTCACCAGAAGGAATGTGCAGGAATTAAATTGACTACATCTGTGGAAAGAGAGGTTTGAAAATCTCAA